CTGGAGCCCAAGACGTGTCAGGAAGGCCGCAGGAGGAAACCACTGGCCCTGAGGACAACACTGCCCCAGCCCTGGCCCTTCGCGTGTGCACACGCAAGCACACGCACAGACACAGAGATATACAGGCACACACACACACTCACACACACACTCTGCAAACACGTCCCAACAATAACTCACTGTTCCCAGGTCTGGTCACTTCCAGGGAACCAGGCAGCCTGCCATCGCTGGGTTCTGAAGGGCCTCTGCTCTCTCCCCTTCCTTGTCGTCCTGGCTGGGAAAGGTTTGTTTCTCAAGGGCCCTGCAGGGGCAGGAGGAGGCGTGCCTCAGTGGAAACGGAGCCACAGAGCAAAGGTAGCAGGAACAGCAGCCGCTGCCATTGCCCAAGGTCAGGCCTCTTCCCTTCCTGAAAGGCTCAGGGCAAAGTCCTCCCTGGTCACGTGGTCACCTGGGACAGGGCAGGGGAGGCTGGGCGGAAAGGCCGGCAGACCTGAGCACCGAGCACCTGCGGCCGGCCGGAAGCCACCTCTCCAGCCTCTGCTGTTGTCCAGTTCCAGCCAGTTTTCCAGCTCTGATAAGGGTTTCACTTTGGCGTGACACATTTTCTTGGCTCTTTCCACAGAGCTGTTTGGATTCTTTGTTGCATTTGAGAAACTAAAAGCCAGGGAGAAGGAATGTTTCTATGGCATGAATTCATCCCTTCCACACAGAGGAGCTAGTTCGGCCGTGTCCGGACCCAAAGGTGACCCAGGTGGGCTGCTGCAGCGTCCAGGGTGGGCTTGGTGCCACTGGGGTGCCGGGGGAAGGTCTCTGTGGGGGCAGGAGGGTCCTGGTCCCCCAAGCTCTCCAGGAGGCTCCAGCTGCAGGATTTCCTGGCTAGGGGTAACAGCACCGTTCCTTTCAGATAGGGTTTTCAGACTCGGGGTGTGGCTGAGGCAGCCGGGTTGGGCCAGAGGCTGGCGACTGTGGACTCTTGTCCTGTGAATGACAGTCTGCAAAAGCAGGTGCACGGACCCAGTCGTCCGTGCATCCTCAGAATTCGCCGTGACGTCGGCACTGGCTGCGCCCCGCGGGGCCACTGTGTAGGATCTCATGCTGGGGGACACCGGCCCTGAGCTTCTGTGATGCCCCTCCGTGGCCCCTGCAGGGCCAGCAGCTCTCTTGTCGATGCCAACATTAGAGCGGTGTAGGGCAGAGTCCCAGCGGCTTTCGTTCTGGTTCTAGAGCCAGACTGAGGAAGCGTGCCCACGGGCCGAGGGGATACGGGGCTGATAGGCGGTGACCTGGACAAGGGAGACAGGGTTTGGAAAGGGATGGTCATTTCCAAGTTACTTTCCGCACAGGGCAGGGACAGAGCAGCAGGGAAATAACTAGGTGGGGCCCAGTGGTTGAGCCAGAGCCCACAGGACTGACTGTGGTTCAAATTCTGACCCTGGTGGCTTAGAAAACGTCTCTGGTGCATGTGTGTACATGTGTGTGCATGTGTGTGCTCCAAATCCCAGCAGGATGGGGACATGGAAAGCGAAGGTGTTATGATATGGCCATATTCTAGGGACCGTCTGGAATTCTGGGCACAGGGAGGGCACCACCAGCCCGGGCGACACCCCCCAGCAGGGGCGCTTTCCTGTGCACGCCCCCTCTGGCAATTAAAAAAGAAAAAGAAAAAAGAAGGAACAGGTTGGTAAACATCAGATTACTTCAAGTTACTTCCTGTAAGGATTTTAAAAAGGTGAGGCCCCCACAGCCTGGATGAAACCAGCACAGCACCCCCACAGCCCAAGCTGGGGGCCCACACTGGGGGACCCACACTGCTCACCGTGAGTCTGACAAATGCCCACACACTTCCAGTCTAACAGTGTCTGTGCTGCGCGTCGGGCACAGCCTGGCCGTCCTCTGCTCGGGGTCTCACAGCTGTCAGGGTGTCGCCAGGCCAGGTCCTCCTGGAGCTCGGGTCCTCCTCAGGTCCAGGCTGTTGCAGGACAGAGGTTCCCTGTCCCTGCCGACTGTCCCTGGGGGCGTCTCTCAACTCTCGGAGGCCACGTAGCCCCTCGCAGTCTCTCACCAAGGCAGCTTCTCGAGACCAGCAGACCCTGGATTCTAGACCCTCTTTAAAGGCCCCCTGCCCAGGGCGGCCCACCCACACATTCTCTTCTCTCAGCTCTACGGCTGCTGGTCAGAGCCCTGAATCACACCCGGAACCTCTCCCCTCTGGCATATGGTGTAGCCTACTCTCAGGAGTGGCCTCTTCACAGTCCCTGGGAGAGCCCTGTGTGCCAGGGGAATCCTGGGTCCTGTCCTAGAATTCTGCCAAGGCACAGGGAGGGTACCACCAGCGCAGGCGATGGCGTGGAAAGCTGCCATGGGCACCTGCAGTGGGTGGCAGGGCACCAGCTACCAGGCAGCGTGGCAGGGCCCAGGGCTCAGCTAACCCAGTGAGAGACCAGGCCGGATGTGTCCCCTCTGATCTCAGGGTGACCCTACATGAAGGCCCTCGGGTGGATCTCCTCCCTGAAACCTGTGGCTCTTCCCTGGTACCCCTGGCCAGCTGCCCCCACACACTTGTCTACTTGGCTCTACAGAGGGAGTGTGGACGGGAGGGCCCCAAGCCTTGCCTCACTCTGGGCCTCGGATTCGGAGTGGCCAGGCGCCCGAGCCTGCCCCGTGGGAGAGGAACCTGCGGCTCCGAGTATCATCGGAGATGCGCTCGCTGGGACTCGAGCTCCAGGCGGTCTCCACACAAATAAACTCCCAGCAGGTGGACCCTGACTTCCAGCCAGGCACACCAGGTGCGTGTGCACCGTCATCACGCTCGCGTGTGGTGGGAAACAGAGCATGTGCCCGTGCCCTTCTGTGACATCTGCCGGCTTCTCTCTGGGGTTGTAGGACTTGGCTGCCGTGGCACGGGTGGGTGAATGTCTGCTCCCCACTGTGAGCAGGCCACACACGCAGGCCTGTCCCCTCCCATACACGGCCCCTATGGAAGAGAGGCAGGAAAGAACTGCGGGCCGGAGGGCCCCGGGACAGCTGGCCTGAGCACCCACCCGCCTGAGGAATCTCTGAGCCCTCCCCTCCCCTGCCCCGGCCGGCTGATTCTGCTCGGCGTCCACAGTGACAGGCTGGGCGGCCCTGGCCCCTGGTAGCAGCCTTCTGCAACCACACCCTTCACGGAACTGAAGCAGAGCTCAGGGCTTGGAGCTGACACTCTCGCTGCACCCCAGGTGGGTGACCCCTTGTTCCTTAGGCTGTCAACGTGCCCACGTCACCTTCCTGGTGGAAGCACCCAGAGACCCCACTCTGGCCAGTGAAGATGGGCAGAAATCCCCTGGGGATCTGTGGGGGACGGCCTCCTCTTTCTCCTTGGGGCTTCCTTGCAGAGCTGTGGTTAAGGATAAAACTCTGTGATAGTTATCTGAGCCCCATCTCTTCCAGAATGTTCTTATCTGCAAAGGCCTTTGAGATAAGCAGGCAGGATCCTGTCTGCTTAGCCTGGAAACCTTCACCCTTGCTTATCGCAATGGAAAATTCCAGCAGGGATTTCTGACCTCCGAGTTAAATTCCTCAGCTCAACAATCAGATTGATTGCCCGCCAGGCTGGGCAGAGGGGAGAGAGCAAAGTAAATAAAGCCAGTCCTGCCCTGGCCAGGAACGGGCGGTCATCTGCAGAGTGGCTGAGGGCCCAGGCAGGACACCTGAGTCACCTGGCCAGGAGGAAGGTCCAGGAGGCCTCGCCAGGGAAGGCAAATGTGCTGGTACTGGCCAAGAAACCTGCTCAAAGCAACGGGGGAGGGCATGCAGAGTCCCGGGGGCAGCGTGAGCACATGCGGAGGTCTGGGGCACACGGGGGGCAGGAGCAATGGGGTGGGAGAGGGACCATCTCATAAAGACAGACTGGAAGCACGCAATGATAAAGTATCTGCCTTTTACTAAGCCAGCGTGTGCTGAGCAGAACTGGCCCTGCTGACACCTCCGTTTCAGCCCATGTTTCCCAGGACCGTGGGACCACATGCTCGTTTAAGCCACTTGGTTTGCAGTTGTCTCATTTATTTATTTAATAATTTGCTAGAGAGCATGTGTGCTCACTGGAGAGACAGAAAAAGAAAGAGGAGAGAGAGAAAGTTAGAAAGCACCCCAAGGGGAGACGGCCACGCTGCAATCCCTCCTCCATTCTCTTCTCAGGCTTTTGGGCTTTGGGGCACGTGTGTGTAGTGCCCAGCTTGTTTTTCAAGTCGCCAGGCCTGGGACTTGAACAGTGCAGTGGCCATGTTGGATCCAGCACCTTAACCATCACGCCATCAGTTGGGCCTGTGGCCATTTCTGACAGCCACCCCAGGAAACTAGCCCAGACTCAGCTAAGCCGGCCCTTTTGAAGGTCACCAGCCCCTCCACGCGTAACATCGGCCCAAGCCCTGGTCCAAGCGCAGGCTCTGAGTGACAACAGGGTCCGGTGCCTCTGCTGCCAGCCCGCCCCAGGCTCTCAGACAGCGGCCTCCAGAGGGCGGCGCTGTGCACTGGGTTTAGCTGCAGAGGGAGGTCACCATGGGAGCGTGCAGGGCTCTGTACCAGGCCTTTCATTCCGACGACTAACCAGGCTGATCTGATTCTCTGGCTGAGCCTTGGACCACAGAGCAGAAACCAACAGGCAAAGAGAAAGGGCAGCAGGGCCGTGACGCGGGGGCACTCTGGGACAATTCGGTACCCAGGACTGCATCACTTGGTCGAGCTCCGTGAGACCCAGTACTGGACCAGAATCCCCGACAGGAGGACCCCCACCACTCCTCACAGCTGAGGTGACTACCTGGAGGCCTCATACCTGCGGCTGAGCAGGTGGCAGGGGCTGCCCCATGACTGAGGGCGTCCCAGGGACCGGCAATGGGGTCTCCTAGAGATCACCTCCCAGCCAACCCCCAGGTGGGGCAGGTCTGGAGTAGCCCTTGGGGTGGTGGAGCTCCCCATCTCCCTGCAGCTGGGCCCCAGCACCTGCTCCTGGCAGAGGCCAGTGCAGGGCCACCTGACTTCTGCCCTGCACCACCCCACCATTCTCCAGGGAGGAACGCAGGTTTGGCAAGCCAGAGAGGTTCAAGGCTTGGCCTCGGCAGTTAGTTAGCATGGCTTGGAGCCCGCTCTGCCCCCAGCAGGCTGTGAGGTGTGGGGCAGGTCACACCCTCCCGGAGCCTCGGTCCCCCTTCTGTAAAAGCCAGATAAAGCAGAGCTGTGGTAAAGATAAGAAGACCATGTGTGCATGGGGTCAGCGTAGAGCCAGCCGGTGGCCACTCCCACAGCGTGTTGGAGAATGTTTTTTGGGTTGCAAGTTACCACACCAGCTCAAGCTCACTGGAGTGGAAGAGGTTTGATTGCACACCCGCTGGGGCTGACCATGGCAGTCAGGGGCGCCAGGCCAGGACCAGCAAGAGAAGGGCTGTCACCCTGGGGATTTTCTCTGCATCTCTGGTTTCCCACAGCTCAGGTATAGACAAGAGACCTCGCAGCTGCCAGTCCCTCCACCCCCGCCCCAGGTTCACCCACGGCTACCCACAGCCTGGGAGCTTGGGGAGGAGGTGGGGAAGGGAGGCGTGGGGACAAGCATGGCAGGCGAGCTGAGCAGAGAGCAGTCCTGAGCGGCAGACACCTGTGGTGGCTGTCACTCTAACAGCAGTGGCTTCGCCCTCATGTGTGGCCCGCGAACTCCACGACAGCCAGCCAGCCTGGTCCTACCTCGTCTCAAGGCCTCAAGCAAACATTCCTGAAGTGCACTCTGATCTCGGGGAGGAAAGGTGCCGTTGGGAAAGCCAGAGCTCGATGGCACCCCTCTTGGTGACCAAGTCACACAGCTGTGGTCTGATACCAGCAGGACCCTGGCCAACGACATCTGCCCTGTGACCCCTGGGGTGGGCCCTGTGGGTTCTCTAAGAGGTCAGACGGGTTTGCAGGGGCCCTTCCTTGCACGGTCCTTGAAGACTCAGCACATCTGCATATGCAAGGCCTCCAGGAGCCTCACAGCTGCAGTACCCCCAAGTGTGCTGAGCCTAACAGCATCATCACCCCTGGGACCGGGTTCAGACTCCCCGGTGGGGATGCCCTGCACCACCCACACCAGCACCTCCTCTGGGCTCTCTGACAGCATGTCCCACCCTGAGACTCGAGGTGCCGGCCACTGGGTCCCGTTCCACCAGTAGGGTCTGTTCAAAGCTTCCTCCATGGCTGGGAACCAGCAGTTAGCGTAATGGCTATGTCGCTGGACTCCCACGTAGTCGACCGCGGTT